GACATACTTTTGCCTTTTGGTGTTGTCCTCCAATTTTTCCAGGCTGGATTCTATAAATCATTTCATCTGGTACAAATACTGGGCTGTGAGCACAGATGATCTTAAAGGCAAGGATTATTTGAAACTCCATCTAAGAGTCTATCCTCCTTTCAACAGATTAATGCAGCTTGAATTGGTGAATAAAAATTTTCTTCTTGCATGCCAGTCAATGCACAGGTAGTCCTAGGGACTTTGGAAGAGGAATTTCTTCTACTCCAGGAGGCTTTGGGAAAAATGACTTCTCTGTGTATTGACAACTAACGTATCATTGAAAGCATTTAAGGTCCTATTCAATGCAAGTGCTCATGGGTTAGCTGGAGGTGGAGGGGGGATGACATAAGCAAAAAGGTCATTATTTTGAAGGAGATCTGTAAGCTTGAGAACGTCATTTAGAATACCCTTTTGCTTTCTGTCATCCCAAGAAGGTAGAAATTTACTGTGGTTTTCAAGATAGGTTAAAGTTAAATACCTCCCAGAGTTGGAAGAGTATTTTGGGTAACTATCTGAAGTATTACACATTGCAGTTTATGCTCATTTGTCCTTATTCCAGCAATGAAAATGAATTGGGTGAAGGCAGGCTGGGATAGAGAAGGTCCAACAAGTTGATAAATATTTCACTGGAGGGGAAGCTTCTTTGACATCTTTACTTTTCTTTAACCTGTTGACGAAACAGTTGCCTACACGCAGTGACCATATGCTTCTGAAATGAACATTCTTGACTGCTGACTGTTAGAAATGATCTTGCTGGTACGGGGAGTGAAGGCAGCAGTGCCTACCTTTTACCTGTACTTGAAATGGAAAACCTAAGGTGTTTTTCAGTTAGAACACATGCAATTTAGGGTGACCCAAATGAGTTTAACAAAAATGTAATCAAACATTCTGCTGAAACTTTTTAGGACAGGAAACTCTTCCCATCAAGGTACACCCGGGTAATGAAATTGTATAAATTGTTTAGTAGGATTCAAAAGGTGAAGGCCTATCGCTAGGTGATGTAAACTGATTAGCTGGGGAGGGAGAAAAGAAGACATAATAACTTTCTATATGTTAAACATTACAAGATGTTGCTTCATTTAAATCTCACAGATTTTTCTCCTTTTCATAGGTGAGGCAACAGGCTTAGGGATGTCACTAAATATTTCTAAGTTATAACTAATTAATGGCTGAATTTGAAAAGGAATATCACAGCTCTCAAACGGAAGCTAATGCTCTTTCATCTAACCAGGCTACCTCATTTACTACCTAAGAGAAATCATCATGGAGGACTTCCCATCTACCTCGTTGCAAGGACTCGAGACATCACACAGCTGCCTTCCGATCAAGGTGATAATGTCACATACAGGGGAGAAGAAGTTGACTGGGTCTTGAATTAGGCTGCCTAAGCTATTCCTCCCACTCTGCTGTTTTCTAGCTGTGCAGCTTGGGCAAATTACTAAAATTCTTTGTATCTCAGTTTCCTAATCTGTAAAAAAGGGGCTAATATTCAGGCCCAGCTCATAGGGTTTTGTGAGTTTTAAATGAAATGCAAAATACTTTGCCCAGTGCCTGAAACAAAAATAAATGTTCAACGTGTCTATACATATACACTTATTCTATTTAGAGTTTGTATTATATTTAATTATCAATTTCTTTAGCATAAAACCATCCAGAATTAAAAGTGGAGCTTCTTATAAAATGCAAAAGTAAACCCTTGCACATATGATTAGACATAGCAAAGAAGAGGTTAGACAATCCTAGTGAGCATCAAGAGGTGGCTGAGCATACTTACTTTCAAACAAAACAGAGATTCAAAATTAAGAAGCAAGACTAGAACAGGGGTGAAAATTGTGAGGAATTGCTGTGAAGCCCACATCTCTATAGTAACCAGTAACCCAAGGGCTATTAAGGAGAAGGAACCAGACTAAGGCAATGTGTCTTTGTTATAGTTAATTCCGTCACTGCCATTACCATCAGCACAGTTTTTTAAAGGGAAAAGTTAAGAAATACTCAATTTTGTTAAAAATTGCATGCCATATAGCTTCAAAAATGAGTTATGAAATAGTGCCTGAAGCCAGAAAAAATAAGCTAGCCATCTTATGAGAGTACTTTTTTTTTATCCTAAATAAGTTTCTTACTAATTTTTTTCTTTTCTACGTTGAACATTTTGAATTTTCCATTATGTGAAGGTCTGAAGTCTTTTGCCAAGAGCAATGAGAATTGTGAGGAAAAAAAAAAAAGCCAACAAAACATCCCTTTGTATATAAATTCCATTAATTTCTGCACAATCAAAACAAGTATTAGTTTTCCTTGGACCAATAGAAAACATACTGATGGCAGGAATCCATCCTGGGTATGTCAAAATAGGACCTTTTCTAAACAACCCAGACAATTTAAAATTTCTCCTTAAAACAGAAACTTTTTTTTTTCTCTCTTAGATTTTTCTTTAGGGAGTTAAGCATCTGATTTTACTCCCTCCACAACCCTGCATTTTAGGGCATTTTGTTTAGTATTTCACCTTCAAAGGAGATAACACCGCTCTCCGCTTCGGTGCGGGGCGGGATTAATGAAAATAAAGTTCTGTCCTTCTCTATCTCCGCCTGGGCCATGTTGTCTTGGTCTTGATCATTTCCCCCAAATTAAGATTTCTGCATAAAACCCTGGTGTCTGCGCCTGGCTGGCAGTTTTATGGCTGACCAAACTGTGCGCTGGCCAGTGTTCTGGTTGGCTGAATGTTTACACAGGCTGTTAATCAGCTGGGGACCGGGTATGGATGTGGGGACTGTCTATACGCTGGAGCCGTCCTGTTTGCTGTCGTGTGCAAGGGCCTGCACTTTGTTACTACAAATTACATAATGGCATGTTACATTTCAAAGTGTATTTTTACTTCAGGGAAAATTAAACCAATAAACAAACAGCCCTGGTGGAAAAAAAAAAAAAGGAAAAAGAAAAAAATAAGATCCCTGGTTCCCAGATCTTTCTCTTCGAAAAGGTTCTTAATTAAATTGGAGCTATAAACAAATCTTTGCTTTATTGAAAGGAGAGCAATTGCATATAAAAGCTATTTTAAAAAATCAGGATTCGTGTATTTACTGGACCAGGGTCTGGCCCATGTTATGTGTTTTATGATTTGTCCAAAATAAAAAAGCCAGCTTGTGTAGTGATGGTAGATTTTCAATTTTTGATCGCTAATCCCTCTCAAACGTTGCTCCTGCCCTGCTAGAAAGGAGTATGTAAACGCAGGAATTACCTTAGTTTTTCCAGGTTATCGATTCAGGCAAAGATGCTTTGCATAAGCATGAAGTTGCCAACTCCGGATTTCTGGACATGTAGAAAGTCAGGTTTCCACATATACTATTTACATTTTAGCAACTTTGAAGCTGTTTTTTTAAAAATCAACCCCTCTAAATCAACTTCTAAACTTTTCACTGCACACATACAAATTTAATATTAATTTTTTTTCTGCAAGCTGTTGAAATTAAGTATATGCTTAGGATCCAAGGTTATAATGATAGACCTTTTGGGTAATAGTCATGCTCATATATTATTCAATTAGGTATACAGAGGTTTTCCCACGTTTCTAAAATAGAGCGTGCCTATGAAACTATCAAGCTGAAATGGCATAAAGTGAAAAGCCAGTACCACTAATTTATATGGAAAAATGAGCGTTCCTAGACCCAAAAAATAACCTTCGGTTTTTCTAATACCCTAGGACAAATCTTGCTAATAGGCGCACAAAATCAATCTAGATAAAGCACAGATGCTCTGTCACAGTTCAAAGTGACAGCAGCTTGACTGCCGAGAGGCCGAGGGCAGTTCCTGGGGAAGGCGCTGGGCGGCGCCACTCCTCCCGCTCGGGGCGTGCTGCTTCTACAAGGGCTCGCTCGCTATTTTCGCTGGTCCCCTTTTTCCATAAAAGCTAAAATCCTCTTCGGATTTGTTTCAGTTAGCGAAAACAGGTACTAATGTAGGTCTTCCCTAAAACTGAGGTGGCTTAACACGAGCTTTTGAAAAGCAAGGGACACTTGCTATGAACTCGCTCAAACTGTTTTTCATCATGAGCTGTGTTATCAAAAGAGAAATGTGTCCTCAACTCTCTCCTCCAGCTAAGTGGAGTATTAAGAATGAGGACACTTACTAAACTGCATTTTAAATGAGTTATTCCACCAAATCAATCCTGCCCAAATCGCTGTTATCAGAACCACTTGGCCTGGAATTCACTGGGTTTGTTCAGGTGTTTGGCTGTCACTAGGAATAGCAGCAGCCCAGTCAATGGCTGAATCAAAGATTGCCCCTCTTATATTTTAAAAACATCCCAGGATGCTTACATTTCTTAGGCAAAATTACGATGTGACTTTGGATGATTTATCAGTACAATCCACAAAATGAGAAGTCACAAGAGGAATTGAGATAGTTCAGTTTATTTATTTTTCAATTGAGAATTTTTCAAAAAGACCTTTTCTCTTCAAATCTCAAAAATAAATAATGGGGTTCGGAACCTCACTCACAGTTAAAACTTCAGATTTTGCCATGACTGAAAAAACTTGCAAAGGAGAAAGGATAGTGAAATAAAGGACAGACACATAGTATAGATTCTTTTGGATAAAAGGGGACTGTTTTAGACAATGCTACTTGCCAACAACAGCCATGCAAATGTACGACACCGCTATTTTATTTTGTGGCAAGAAAATGTTTTCCTCGTTCTCATCTTGGATTGACAGTTTGAATGAATCATGAATTCAGATTACTTTATTACTTAACGAAGTTTCTCTCCCCTGACCCAAAATCACCAACCACATTTCAAGGGGTCTTGTTTTCGATTTCAGGCTAGTGTAAGGACTGCTGCTGTCTGCATTCTGCTGCAGCTTGACCTTGACTTTAGAGGGAGCAAAAAAGACCACCAGACTTTTCACTGTTGATTGAACTTGCTTTCAATATTACCAAATAAACAACAGTTCAAAGTGAAGAGTCAGATATTAATCCCCGGCTTTCATTCTACAAATGACCATTCCCATAAGAAAGCTTTCAGCCAAGTGATAGTCTAGGAATTGACTAATAAGCTATGGTATGCCTGTGAATGGATAAGATGTCTTCATCCTGGCATTTTGCTTAGCCAGCATTTGAACTGATAGGTGGGGGGAGGTGGGCAGCGAGTCACATCATAGCTTGTTGAATGAATGAGTGAAAACGGGTAATGTGAAGATAATACCAATAATAATGAGGTCTTTCCCCCTCATTCTTTTTGCCTGGATGTTTTCAATTTCCCCGGTTGACAACTTCTCTCTTCTGCCTATTTGCCTTCCATGCCATGGTGTGCGTCAGAGCTCCGGGGGAAGTCCACCATTAGCACCGCAGCTCCTCTACACAAATCCTGGCGGGAAAGAGAGAGGCTTAAGGCAGAAGGAAGGGCAAAAGTTCAACTCTCAGATGGCAGTTCAGATGGAGAAAACAGAATGAGAAAGAGTGGTGGCGGCCATCCCACGACTTCTCTTTCCCTCCACTTGGAATTTAACTCTTAAAATGTATCCACATCTATTTCTTTTAATCAATCTATCTATTTTTCTATTATTCCTTTTCTCTTCTTGCCTCTTTCTCTCCACCCTTCCTTCCAGAAATAAAACTGGTATTTATGCAGAAGTGTGAAGTCAGACCTTGAAAATTAGGACTACTGTTACTTTAGACGGGTGGAGGCTTCCTTGTTTGGTTTTAACTCTCTCTTCTGATACTTGTCCTTAACTTGATGTATCAGAGAACCTCTTTGAAAATGTTTCCATTTAATTGGGCTCAGGGAACTAAAAGTCTACTTTAAAAAACATAAAATGATGCTTTCTGATAGGGACTTAGTAGTTAATTTCTGTGGAGGTCTATTCTCATATGCATGAAAATCTGTTTAAAATGCTGTTTTAAATTTTAAGTCACACATACATATACTAAATCCATTTATGTGTTTTTAAATGCTGTTTAAAAAATTTAAATATGTGTAATGTAAAATAATGTAATATAATAAAAATATATACATATACATACATATATATACAGAGAGAGAGAGAGTATGTGCATTATAATAGCACGCAACCTGGGAAATAAACATGAACTTGGAAGCTTACTGGGCTTTACAATGCAACAGATTAACCAAGTAACATTTTATATATGTATTTGCCTATAATTGAGGCATACAAATATGCTATTTAGAATATTTCCCTTATTGAATGAACAAGCCCACAGGTCCACCATTTTACATTTGTTCTCTTAAAAACATGACACTCGTTTTGAAAATGCTGGTTTAAATGGGCATTATTAAGTCTTTATCAGTTCTGAGCATTTCAGCCTTTTGCATCCAGAAATTTCTCAATCTGACAGAATAAGAAATGCATTTACATGGCCTAAGCTCTTAAATTGTCCCTTTCAATTAATGCCCCATCATGGAGCAATCTGGAAACCATTACTCAGTAACTCTTCATTATAATTGCTTGCAGCTGAGTATCCAGCCCTTGGTAATATAAGAATAAAAGAAAACTCAGTTAGTAACAAGTGCAATTGATTCCATTCAGAATTCCCTTGGTGCTTTGCCATGTTTGGCCTGCATGAGAGGAAACACGAGGTTTTTTTTTCTTTGGGGGCCAGGAAATGAACTGGCAGACATAGATGGTTTGTGTGGTGCTTGCCTTCGTGTTTCAGCTGGTCCTAGTTAAAAATGAGACGGTGGGGCTCCTGCTTTCTCCCCCACCACCTTTTCCCCCACCACTTTTTTTTTTTTAGGGCTTTTCTGCTAATAGATAAGACTACAAAACTTCAATTTGCTGCAAACTAACAGCATCCAGAAACTGTCACCTTCCGTGACCACAGCCAATCCTGGATTGCCTTCTGCTGAGGAGTGGGGTGTAGAACTGGATTTGCTCCCACGTTGATGCTGCCTTTATGAGAGCACGGTCCCTGGTGTATTTGGTACAGGTGGAGAGTGTTTATGTGTTTGGAGGCTATCAATCACCAAGTCCAGAAATGTAAAGATCTAAATTATGATAGATGAAAATGTGAAAATGTGATGTGGTAAACTCCACTGCCCCCATTCCAGCCATATCCCCCCTGCTTCCACCCCCATCCCTTCCAGCCACATCCCTTCACCCCCCGTGTAAATCAGGAACTTGGCTTTTAAGATGGTGAAGGGAAATGTTATTACTCATTCCCATCAGAGACCCTGCAGCTTAGTGCCCAGCACCCATGTCTCCTTGGACTCTGAGTACCAGGAACCATGGGGACAGTCAATTCAGACCATCCTGCCCACCTTCTCCCCTACACATGACTGAGACCAGGGGACAAGCATGCCCTACTTCATGAACTTAACATGTGTCAATTATAATACATTTTTATTTATAAAAAGAATTGATGTTTAGCATGGAAAAGTTAAGCCCAATAAAGCCCTAACTAATCTTAATTAATTTCAATTCTTTGCTTTCCCAATAATAGAAAAAATCCCCTCTCTCTATGAATTTAAATGGCATTTCATTTTGATATGCTGTAGAAAGAAGTCTAAAATCTTCCATGGCCAAGGAAAATTTTTGTGTATTTCTCATATTTTTTTCTATGCATTTATTTTTTGAGAGATTGGTTTTTTTCACATTGGTGTGATGATTCTGTATGTTCTACCCTGCTGTAAACTTAAAAAAAAATTACTGTTATACTTACTGATAATGAATTATTTTAAAAGACCTCATCAAGGGTTTTTAAGGGAGAGCGAAGCACTGTAACCAACAAGAAGAAGAATAATAGGAGTAAAAATCTCTGATGTTTGGAGGCTCCAGGATCTCAGGAATAAGAGCTGATATAGTATCGGCTGGTCAACAACCATGGTGGACCCCAGAATCCCAGTGTTCTCAGACTCCCAAGGTCTACAGTGACTAAAAGGAACTATAAATAAGCTTTAAGTGAGAACATTTTTCCATTTAGAAATAAATTAAAAGATGAATACTTAGCAGCAAGTTTCAAGAAGGCAGGGAGAATTGGATTGTTTTGTGTGTGCCTGATTTCACATTTGTCTAAGATATATAAATATAAAAATCAACTTGGTCTCTTGAATTTGTGATAATTAAAAATCATCAATTTTTCTGGTAGTGTTTTTTTCATTTTTCTCTAGTTCCATGTCTTTACCTATGAAGAAATGCAGACTATTTAAACCTGGGCTCCCTAAAATCTTTAATTTACTAAATTTTTTAAAATGTGACAATGAAATCAGCCTATGCCCAATGACCTTGTCCAGTGACAATGAATTCAGGCCATCTATTTATTATATTAATAGTTCATGCCCTGGAGAATTGTAGTAGGATGGGGTAAAGCCCATTTATAATAAGGTAGACATGTCCGGTAGCTTAGGCTTCTATGTTTGAAATAACCAATCACCAAACTCTGATCTTTACATGCTGGTTTGGCCAGAGCTTCAACCCAATGGGTGTATAGCTACTTGACTGTCCACTAATTTTGCCTGTTGAAAGTCTTGTCATTCTTTCATGGCAACTGGTCATGGAGGGTCCTGTTCCTTCCCAGGCCAGACAGGCCTGCCTACTCAGTTCCCCAGGCTATTTACAGGACTTCAGCTTTGTTTCAGGTTTTCAGCACCTTTATTTAAATCCTCTCTCCTGTCCCGCTGAGGCAGTATTTAAACAATTCTCCCTTTTCCAATCAATCAATCAGCAAATCTTTCTTGAGGTCTAACTGAGCAGAATACTCCTCCTTTGCCCATGACTGCTGAGTAGTAATTTTGTGGCCTGGCTTTCCAAGCCCAGAATCTTGAATCTTAATAACATTTTTTAGAAAACTGTGCTAAAATATACATAAAATTATCATTTTAACCACTTTTAAATGTATAGTTCAGTGGCATTAACATTCAGATTGCTTAATGGCCTTTTAAGCTTTCTAGATAAAATCCAGAAAATTTTATCTAGTAATGTTGAGTGATTTAAGATGTTGAGAAAAGATCATGCATTTTTTAGAGGAGGTGAAATACACAAAGGCCTGTGGACTCTCATTTCTCACTGTAGATGGAATTTCTTTTGTTTATCTGTATTTCTAGTGATAAGTGCTATGGTCAAATTCTCTAACCCATCTGGTGATGAGTTCTGATTGTGAGTTGTTTTGTTTTGCACATAGACATCCTATGATCTGGAACTGTACCCATGAATAAGATGGGCCTATCAATCAGAGCTGACTCTCAGTGATTCATAGAACGGTACACTTGGAGAGGCCCCATGGACTGCTACCTACCATCACATGTGTTTGGCTGAGCCAGCCAAGTATTTTAAAAGTACATATGGTTATCATCATGGCAGAAGTGGAATAATTCATACTGAAATATTTATTCCCAGCTCCTCTTGAAACTGGTAGATGGGGCAGTGTGGGGACCCCACTAGGCCTGGCAGCCACCCTTAGAAGCTAGGGAGTGGTGACCCCTTCAGGTAGGGCAGATTGCTCCAGGCACCATGCAGTTAGCTTCAATCTCTATTACCTTGTTGACAACCCCCCATCCTTCCTTGAGTGACCTTTACCATATTGTAGAACTTTTCACAATTCCCTAACCGCCCTTCTATTCATCACTGATGACAAAATTCTCCTTAAGGCTGCCTTATAGGCACTTGGGTATTGACTACGAGTAAAGACCTTCATGATCAACTTGGAATAAATCGTCTCTCAGGGGAGAACATGAAGGTCTGGAGGAGGCCTCTCTTTATTCACTGAAAGAAAGAGACAGCTTCTTTTATTTCCTATTTCTGCCATTGGCTGTGAAGATAATTGGTGGAAAGATCATGGAATGGGAGGCCAGGGAGCAAAAGAAGAAAGCAAATCCAGAAGACTAGCAAGTTCTTAAATGGCTCTTGGGCAGCTGAGTTGCATAGAACGCTGTAATAGTGTCATAGAAAATCGTCCCAAAGATTAGAATAGCACTAGGCATTCTAACCCAAAGAACCCCATGGAATGGCCCCAAGCCTTACCCCATGGGGCCTGTGCGCCTCTAGAGAGGTCGGTCATCCATGCAAGGGAACATTTCTGAGGTAGGCTGAAGGCTGTGGACCCTCAGTCAGTGAGAGAGGAATTCTGTCAGATATGCATCTCTCCCAGTTTATTCTATGTTTAGGGATGAGGAGTGAACCCACATGAGGTGTTCCTTCTCAGGGCTCTCTTACGAATGGAAACTGGGCCGAACGGGAAAGCATGGTCTGTTCCTTGGCTCATCTCCACTCCCTTGGCCTTGAGTATGTAGTTTGGGAGCAGGAGGTGATTGTGACTTTGGCATTCTCCCAGCTCCCAAATCACTTCCCTCCATGGTGTCCCCAAGTCTGGGTTAGATGGGCAAATCGGGCCTAATAATGGCCAAATCAAATC